GGCAATGGCAGCCGGAGTGCCCCTGCTGGAAGCCACCTGCCCCATTTGCCTGGAGTACTTCCAGGACCCTGTGCTCATCCTGGAGTGCGGCCACAACTTCTGCCGCAGCTTCCTGACCCACAGCTGGGGGGAGGTCGCCGTCGGAGGCTTCCTGCCCCCAGTGCAGACAGATCTTTTGTCCCAGGAACATCCTCGCGAACAGGCAGCTGATGGGTATGGCAGAAATTGCCCAGCAATGCGACCCTTGGGTCGAAGAAGGAGGGAGCTTCTGCAGGACGCACCGGGAGTCCCTCAAGCTCTTCTGTCAGGACCACGAGACCCTCGTCTGCTGGGTCTGTGAGTGATCCTGAGAGCACAGGGACCACCGGGTGATTCCTCCGGAGGAGGTTTTCCAGGAGTATCAGGTAGGTGTCAGCCTTGACGGCAAGGAGGAATAACTTTGGAGACCTGGAGTTGCAAGAACATGGATTGATTTCATTGATTGATTGATTAAGTGCCATAAAGTTGTTGTTGACTCTTAGCGACCACAGAGATAGATTTTCCTATGACGATCTGTCCCTAACCTGGTCTTTCAAGTCCATAACTGTCCATAACTGAGTCCATCCCCATTACTGTTGGTTCTCCCCTTCTCCTTCCTTCCTCCTGTCCCAGCATCAGAGTCTTCTCCAGAGAGCAAGGTCTAAATGCCCATCCCTAAAAATGTGGTTGTTTCACATAGGGGTGGGAGCAGAGTGTACGAACCATTATTTCTAGCTCATTTGATTTGATTTGATTTTTACTTTCTTTTTCACTTTCTGGGTATGTAAGTTGTGACATACCCAGCTCCCTCTGCTGATTTTATGACCAATAGCAAAGGGCACTTTTGGATGAGGTCTTGATCATGCAATCAATCCACCTTATGTACAGAATATAATGAACACGATGCTTCATTCAGGACCCTCTCATTTTTATAGAATAGAAATTAAAAACTTTATTGTCATTCTGCTATATACTATACACCAAGTGCATGATAAAATGCACTTTTATTATGCACCAAGTGCATAATCAAATGAAATTCCGTTGCAGGTGACTCACAATTACAATCAAACACTAAAATACAATCGAGTATCCACCCCTATTTCCATGTTTTTTGCTTTGCATGATGAATTCTATTTTGGAAAAGGGATGCAATCCAGAAAATTGGAAAGGAGCAAATATTGCTTTAATTCATAAAGAACAAAACGATCCTGCTTTACCAAAAGATGATCAGTCAATTTCTTTGTTGAACAATAGCTATAAAATATTTACTATGTTTTTAGCTGAAAGAATGAAAGGTGTTTGCAAAACTTTATTCTGAAGATCAGTGAGGATTTCTACCTAAAAGAGAGTTGTGGGACATTAGAAATTCTTAATATACTAGAATATTTGGAAGAACGTAATGAAAAAGTAGCCGCGTTGTTATTTCTTGATGCGGAGAAAGCATTTGACATTTTTGAACTGGTTTTTTGTTCAAAATTTTGGAAATAATGTATTTTGGAGGTAAATGTATTAAATGGTAAAAGTGGTATATATGTCACAAACAGCAGAAATTCTAGTCAACCAAGCTCAGAGGACACCCAGCAAAAATGCCTTCTCTATGGACCTCCCTCATTGCCTTCTCCCTCATTGGCTTCTTTTAAACTTGATGATTATTTTGTTTTTTTCCATTCAATGATGTCTAATTCCTGGTCAGGTCCCCATAGTTTTCTTGGTAAGGTTTTTCTGAAGTGGTTTGCCATTGCCTCCTTCCTGGGGCTGAGAGAGAGGGACTGGCCCACGGTCACCCAGCTATCGTTGTGCCTCAGGAGGGACTAAAACTCAGTCTCTTGGTTTCTAGCCTGATGCCTTCACCGCTACACCAAACTGATTCTTAATTATATTATACTGACCTGCCCACAGATCTCGCCCGCTGACCTGCTTGCCTGGGGCTCCTGCCTCTTCCCACATTCCAGTCACGTCAGATCCTGGCTTAACAACCTGCACAGTCCTGGGCTAGGACTGCCAGGATTGCCGTCAATAAGGGATGTGATCATGCGATGTTCCACTTTAGAACTGCATTGTTTAGCAGTGGAAATTCTCTGGTGGGTTTTAGAGCTCTGGAAGCTGAGGGAGAGTCAGCTTTGCCACAGCCACAGTTCGGAGCCTTCAGACAGACACTAGGTTCGCCCAATTCCTCTCAGTCGCTTCTGGAAACTGCTTTTTGACTGCTTTTTGAATATTAAGAACCTTCAGAAGGGCCCATTGCACTGGGTGATTCTCCTTCAATCCTCAGCAAAAACTTTTATGTAAATTTAAGAACTTAAAGATTATTCTGAAATAAACAGCAAAAGCATGATTAGAACATTGATTTTGGAAAGCTTTTAACAGACTAAGGAGCCAGATGGATTGGAAATAAGATTTTGAGACTAATTATAAGAATCCTTCCTGTGGATTGTTTAAAATCCTATTAAAAATATATGAAGATATTGAATCAAAGTCTAAGAAATCTTCCCAAGGTGAAATGTGGATTAGAGAAAAACATGATAAGGGGAGACTTTGAAGGCTGGACAACAGAGGCAACCAGAAAGAGCTCAAGAGAATAATTAAAGGAGAAGAGACCCACGAATACAGAACAGAGAAAAGTATTTTAACTTTGGGAGAATTTGAGGATATTTGGCAACAATGCACTCGGAAATTTCTCTTAAGATTGTCTGCTACCATAAAAATGGGTTTAAAAGGAGATAGAAGAGGAGACAACAAAGAACCAAGCTGTTCCGGATACGAATTTAAAAATCACAAGATGCAAGAATGATATGGAAATAGATGTTACACAGGAGTTTCAAATGAAATTGGCTGATGTCTTAATCACTAAAAGGGACACACAAATAAGTGACTTGGACAACTTTCTCATGCTGGACTTACAAAAGAGATGTGTTCTACTCATGAAGGAGTTCCTGAGAAAAGACAAAGAGAAAATGAAAAGAAATCAGCTTTGGGGACGCTACTTAAGGGGAATAGACATCAAGATTTGTAAAAGCAAAAAGAAGGAATATAAAGTTGGCTTATTTGATCAAGGTGAAAACATATATATGATATTTTTAGTAGCTCTCAATGGGTTTTTCTTGACTGGGATTGAATGACAAGGCTTTAAACATTTGTTTAAAGATAAGATAAGGAAAGAAAAAGGGGTGTGTTTTTTTGGTATTTTCAGAGAAAGTGACAAACTATAGTGTTGAAAGGATTACAAAGTTGGCTTATTTGATTAAGGTTAAAATATAGATGTTGTTAATTCTGGTATGTGTTAAACTGACAAAGGAGCTTCTGAGAGGAGATAAAGAAAAACTGATAAGAAATTAATTTGTGCAACACTATTTCTTTCGATTTTTAATTTGTTGGTGTGTCTGGTAGCACTTAATGGATTCTTCTTGATTAAGTTTGAATGATGAGGCTTTAAAGGTGTGTTTGTAGATAAGAGATAAGGTATGGGAAGAAGAAAAATTTTGTTGTATTTTTGAAGAAAAAGATAAGTTACTGTGTTAAAGGAAAGGAATGTGAAACTGATTTGTTTGATTAAGGTTAATTATATATATATAATTATATATATATATAATAAATATATATATGTTGTTATTTTCGGTAACTATTAATGGACTTTTGCTGATTAAGATTGATGAGGCTTTATAATATTTATAGATAAGAGATGAGACATGGGAAGAAGATATCCCTGGTCGAAATCTTAGAGAAGGTGATAAGTTACTGAAATTGTTTGTATTTGTCTTGGTGAAGGGGGAAGTTTTCTTTTTCTTTTTTACTTTTTATATTTTCTTAATTTTGCATTAATTTTTTATCTTTGCATTTTTAAGTTTAATAAAAATTATTATAAAAAAAAAGAAGTGTCCTGTTGCTGAAAGTCTCTCTTCTTCAAATCCATCAGTTCAAACACAGCATTCTATTCTCATTATCTGTGTAGCTCTAATTCCAAGGAAGTAAACATTGGCAGCAGGGCAGGGATCATTGGCACCCATCACCTCTCACTGCACGGTCTTGCAGAGAAGCCCTTGTCAGGCATCCCTGAGTATGTGAGAGAGGTTGCCATGCCATAGATAGTTGAGGTTGTGCTTTAAGAGCATAAGAAGCTTCTGGTTGATGCTGAATTAAGCCAGAATGTTAGCTTCTGATGAATAACCGTGATCATGAATGTGTTGATAGGACTATTGCCTCCAGCACCAAAAGGTCTTAAACACTTACTCTAAGTGATTATTATTGGTTTTTTGCATGTTTACGGGTAGAGATCTTTTAGGTTTCATTTCTGAGAAAAAACTTAAAAGCTAAAATGCAAAACAGATCTATTTGTTTATGCTTAAAATATTTTTTTTATTATTACTGGCACTCAATGTTTTTGCTGATTAGATTGATTGTCGAATATTTTTTATAATTCAGTTATTGTTTAGGGATGAGAAAAGGGATGAAGAGGGCTTTTCTTAAATAATGTTAGAGAACGTGTTAAATTACTGATAATACATACACTTCTTTGGATGTTGGGGAAGTCATCTTTTATATCTCTCTTTTTCTCCAGATTTACTGGAGGCGATGGGAAACTTCTGAAGCGAAGGCACAAGTTATGGAAGACACAGAAAATGAAAAGGACACATTATTCCTCTTCTTATCAATGAGAAGAGGAGAAATATGAAGAGTTGGTCTGCATATCTTGACTTCTGCACTGCCATACCTCCCGATTCCGTTTCCCAATTCCTCAAAAACAGTATAAAAAGAAGCAGTAATTACCTTCATGTCTACGGCTCTCTCAGTGCTGAGAACGAGGAGCAACAGTGTTGGTCAATCTGTTCCCCTCCTGAACTGTTCTGGGTCCAGGAGTAGGAAAAATCCGCTCTGCTCAGCCTCTGGGACTCTTCCTGCTGGATGTTCCCCACCCAAAGATGTGTTTAGGAAGGCTGTTCTTGGACAATTGCCTTGCCTGTTTCACAGACTGGTACCTAGCATGAAGGTGGCCAGTTGATCTGTATTAACCAACCACTCTAACCCTTTGTAAAGCCAGCAAAACCCTGACTGGATTTCTTTAACCCCGATTTGTTGAATAAATCATAACTGCCTAGGTTCATGCATCACGCTAATTGATAAACATGGCTTAGAGACCCAGTAGCTGGAGCCAGAGAATGTACCCAGCCATCACCAACCAGGTCAGATGACAGCTTCGCCCAAGGTGTGATCCCACCCACAGACATCTCAGTCAAGCTGTTCTTTGGCCTTCCTGTATTTTAATTGGCCTTTTTGTAATTTAATGGTAAAGCAAAAACAGTCAAATTGGCCCTGCATTTTTTCTTTAATGCCCTTGCTTGAGACAGGATAAACCTCACTGGTTTAGTGGAAAATTGGCTACTGTTGAAGGAGAAGAACAATGGCAATCCTGGTTTGGCTCTGCCTGTCAGAGTCTGCACACTCATTCCCAAAACTCAGTAAATCTTCTGGAGACTAGGTAGTTCCATTAAAGATTTCTTTATTAGGAGAAATGCACAGTGTCCATAGTTTCTTGAGTCTAATTCTACAAAGCAAAACCTTCCCTTTTTAAGCCCAAATCCCTCCCCCCTTCTCCTTTCTTTTCCCACTTGACATTCCTGGCGCCTTTCTCCGAGTCTCACGGTTGCTTGACCTTGTTTGCGCCTCTGTAGAGATAACAGCTGCACCTGGCTTGGGATCTTCCTCCCCCCTTCTCCTTTCTTTTCCCACTTGACATTCCTGGCGCCTTTCT